CTGACTCCAGCCACTCATGCTTCTTTGGTCTACTTTAACAAAGAGCCCAAAGCTATTTACTCTGCTTTCCATGGAGCAGACACCTGGGCACCAGGTCTACAACATCCCTCTTCAACAGAAGCAGGACAGGACTGCCCAACTCCCTCTTAAAGGCACATCGTGTCACAGTATATGGACTGGAGTCTGTAGCCCAACAGGCCGGTGGCTGGACTGTCATGGGTTTCTGCCTCTCCTACCCTTTCAGATAGTGAGTTTCAGATCCCCAATACACTCTGGGTAAAAATAATTCTCCTGATGTCCCCTCATTCCTTCTGCCTATTTAGTTCCCCTCCACCCTCCACTGTTCCAAGGGAAACATCCCAAGTCTATACAATCTTTCCCCAGTGTCCAGATTTTCCCATTCCTGGCCACATCCTTGTAAATCTCCTCTGCACCCTCTTCAGTACAATCTGATCTTCCCTGCAATGTGCTTACCCGAATTGTACACAATGATGGAACAAATGGTGTGTACCATTCTGGTATATCCCCCTGCTTTTCTATTCTGTACCTGGGCTACTGCGAGAAGCATTCTTAGCCACCTTTTACTGAGTTTCCCACCACCGTAAAGGATGTGAGGATATACATCCAAGGCATTTCTCAGCATCCTGCTATTTACTGTAGCCTTCCCTCCCTTACCTCGCGTTTCTCTGTGGTAGCATTCCACTTTTCATATTTCTCCCCAAATAACAAGATCTCAATATTCTCCAGCCACCTCTATTTTTCCTCCTCGCTATCAACCACACAGTCAATACTGTGTACCATCTACAGACCTCTCTTTCGTGACCCCTACTCCTGAGTCTGAGTCATAGAGCTGTACAGCACAGAAACAGACCCTTTGGTCCAACTGGTCCATGCCAACCTAGATATCCTAAATTAATCTAGTCCCATTTGCCAGCATTTGGCCCATATCCCTCTAAACCCTTCCTATTCATTCAGATGCCTTTTAAATGTTTACCAGCCTCCACCACTTCTTCTGGCAGCTCATTCCATACACACACCATCCTCTGTGTGAAAAAGTTACCCCTCAGGTACCCCTTCGTTATTCATTCAAGGAACAAGGGCTTCACTGGTTCAACCAGCATTGACCATCCCTAACTACCCAGAGGGCAATTCAGAGTCAACCCCATTGCTGTGGGTCTGGACTCCTATGTAGGCCAGACTAGGTAAGGATGGCAGTTTATTTCCCTGAAGGACATTAGTGAACCAGATGGGTTTTTCTGACAATCAGCAAGGGATTCATGGTCATCATTAGATTCTTAATTCTGGATTCTTTTCATTGATTTCTAATTCCATCTGATGTGGTCGGATTTGAACATTATTTGGGTCTCTGGATTAACAGTCCAGCGATAATACCACTAGGCCATCGCCTCTCACAATCTTTAAATCTTTCCTCTCTCACCTTAAACCTATGTCCCTCTAGTTTTGGACTCCCCTACCCTGGGGAAAAAAACCTTGTCTATTCACCCTATCCATGCCCCTCATGATTTTATAAATGTCTATGAGGTCACCCCTCGGCCTCCGACGCTCCAGGGAAAATAGCCCCAGCCTAGTCAACCTCTCCCTACAGCTCAAACCCTCCAACCCTGGCAACATCCTTGTAAATCTTTTGAGAACCCTTTCAAGTTTCACAAAATATTCCCTATAGGGAGACCAGAATTGAACACGTTATTTCAAAAATGGCCTGACCATTCCTAACAAAGTACAAAGTGCAAGGGGCCCAGTATTGTCCCCTGCAGATCCCACTGCTTAATGACTTGTCAGACATTAGTGTTGACCTCCTGCCTCAAAACGAGCTTTGAATCCAATTTGTCACTCTCGCCTGGTTCCCCAGTACTTTTACTTTTTGACTGCTCTGCCTAATGGCATTATGGGTCAACCCACAGCGCATGGACTGCAGCGGTTCAAGAAGGCAGCTCACCCCCACCTTCTCAAGGGCAACTAGGGATGGGCAATAAATGCTGGGCCCAGCTAACGATGTCCACATCCCACAAATGAATAGAAAACAAAATGTGGAGCCTTATCAAAATCTATGCAAAATCCACTCTGGTCTTTTCCATGTTAAGCTAGACCTTTCTAATAAATGTTTATGCTGTCCCTTAGAATTGATTCTAATAATTTGGCCACAATCAAGGTTATGATAACTGGCCCATAATTACTTGGGGCCCTCCCTCCCTTCAGCAACATTGGCAGACCGCCAAACCTCTTGCACCGATCCTGTAGCCAGGGAGAATTGAAATAAGGTGTTTTAAAAAGAAACCTCCCTTACTTTTTTTTAAATGACATGGATGTCCTGCCACCAGAAGCTGCTGGCCAATCAGACAGCCAGCTACTCTCCAGGCCCAGCAGCACCCCAGGAGTGGTGGCCACTGTTGGAACTGCACCCAGTCCCGTGACCAGGAGGAGCCTGGAGCAGAGATAGAACAGAATCAGGTCAGCATGGGGAAGGAGGTCTGGGCAGCATCATCTGAAGACAGTGTTTCTTTTTACATGGACACTGACCACCCCACCTCTACTTCACCACCATCTCCCCCTCTGTCTCCCTCTCGCGCTCTCTCTCTCCCAAGCCCTCCACTGATGCTGGATTCTTGGACTGCTGATCTGACATCCCATACTGACTAGACAGAAATTCCCACCTATTAAATGTTGGGAACCATTATTGTCGGTTGCTACTTGAAACTCTGTGACTCCATCTATCTCCTAGGCCGAAGTCTAGACATTACGCCAATCTGTTTGCAACCTTGGTGTCCCATTTGACCCCAAGATGACCTTGCGACTTCATTTTTGCGCCATCACTAAGATTGCCTGTTTGCAACACTGTACCATCGCTTGACCTTGAGGGGGGAGGTGGAAAATTCCAGCCAATATTCCACACTCTCCCTCTTGAGCCATGACATCTTGCAAAGAGCCAGCAGAGGTGCAGTGGGCTGAATAGTCTCCTTCTGTGATCTGTTTCTCTGATGCCATGATTCCTCCACCTCACACCTTCACAGTTCTAGATTTTTCTTTGGGCCTAAGCAGAAGGATAGGGAATTAGAGTCGCTTCTGAATAACTAACAATTCAAGGCATTCAGCCTCTCACAGAGAAGAGGTAGATTTTAATAAATGTGCTAATGTTTGATATTCAATGCTGTAAGCCTGTCTAACTGTCGGAGGCTTTGTGTAACAGAAATACAGAGGTCATGGGACTGAGAGGGATAAATGCCAAAATACTTTTGTCAAATTTACAAAGGATCCAGTTTGTATTTACTGTATGCTTTGGCAAAATTGCATTCTTTAAAGCAAAATGCTGCACACCCAAGAACGAATTTCAAGAAACATCCACCCAGCCTTCTGAGGTCACGCTGCTGAAGTGTTCTCAACAATGTCCTCTTGGACTCTGGTAACCACTAGCAACCAGCGCTGGCAAAACCAAATGGCGCCAGTGGGCTCAACAGCTTTCCTCTTGTGCCGAAGCAAAAGGTGGTCACAAATTGTTCTTTGTGTTCTAGGCTATAACATCAGTGCCTTGGTGACTATAGCAACCAAAACATTTCTGAGGTATGACAAGCTGAGGGAGCTGATCTCGAGCGTTAGGAAATATTACCCCAATGTCACCATTGTCATTGCGGATGACAGCGGCAAACCACAAAAGGTTGAAGGAGACTTCATTGAGCAGTACTTCATGCCATTTAAGAAGGTACATGGGTCTTTTGTAAATGAGGAGGCAGGGAGTGGGTGGGGGGAGGGGGATTGTATGTGTTGCAGGAGAGGTTAGAATGTTGTCCCTCCATTTGCCTGAGGCATCAGGCTCCCCCAGAATGGCAAATGGAACAATAATTTCATCACTAAGAGTCTTAGGAAGATGGTTCCAACTTAGTGTAGCCTCACATTGTTGACCGCAATAGGTGCTCATTCACTGAGGTTGCCAACTCTGGGAGTACACTGGAGGTACCACTACCTGATTTCTTCATCGTGATGGGCCTATTCCTGTGTGTCTCACCCTCATTGCTCCCCTCACCAATCAGAACAAAAAAACAGACTTTACATCTTCCAATCGGATGACTTTTAACTGTCAGCTCAATTGCCTCGCCTGATTTCCCACATATTTCTAATTAAGATCCTCGGGGAAATTTTTAAAAAGAAACACCATTTTTAAAAAAAAAAAATACCCTAATGAGCTTTCTCCCTAAAGAGCCCTGGAGATTATTTTTCAGTTCTTGCCAACTTTGAGTTTGAGAAATGGGAATACAGGAAGGGCACTGTGGGAGAGGCACTTCACAAGACAGTTTAAGGAGCTCTGGACTCTTCAGTGCCTGAAGCATCCTGGGAGCATTGATCTGAGAATTGACCATTCAGCCCTCAATCTTGTTCCACCATTCACTATAATCATGGCTGATCTGTCATCTGAATTCATAGAGCCAACTTGGGCTCACAACAGTGAGGTACGTTTATTTAGTTCCTTGATCATCTAAAACGGCCCAAGTCACTTCATAGGAGCGTTGTATGGTAAAAGGTGAGCCTTAAAGTTGGGTCGGGTGATGAAAGGCATGGGTCAAAGAGGTAGGTTTTCAGGAGGGTCTTAGTGGAGGAAAGTGAGGTAGAGAGACAGAGGGGGTTAGGGAGGGAATTCCAGAACTTAGGGCCCAGAGAACAAGGTGGGAGAGACGTTGCCGTAGTGATAATGTCACTAGATGAAAAATGTGGAGGTCTCCTTAGTGCTCTGGGAACACAGGTTAAAATCCCACCACCACCACATCAGCCAGTGGAAGTTAAATTCAGTTAATAAAGTCAGGAACTGAAAGCTCAATGGGCCGAGGAGTGGCAAGTGGAATTTAATTTGGATAAATGCAAGGTGTTGCATTTTGGTAAAACAAACAAGGGCAGGACTTGTACAATTACAAGTAGGGCCCTGGAGAGTATTGTAGAACAGAGAGACCTAGGGGTTCAGGTACATAATTCTTTAAAGTTTGTGTCACATGTAGGCAGGGTAGTTAAGAAGGTGTTTAGCACGCTTGCCTTCATTGCTCAGACCTTTTGAGTATAGGAGTTGGGACGTTATGTTGAGGTTGTACAGCAGATTGTTGAGGCCTCTTCTGGAGCAGTGTCCAGTTCAGGTTGCCCTGTTATAGGAAGGATTTTATTAAGCTGTAGGGGGTTCAGAAGAGATTTACCAGGATGTTGCCAGGAATGGCGGGTTTGAGTTATAAGGAGAGACTGGATAGGCTGGGACTTTTTTCACTGGAGTGTAGGAGGTTGAGGGGTGACCTTACAGAAGGGGTTTATAAAATCATGAGGGGCATAGATAAGGTGAATAGCAGGTGTCTTTTCCCTAGGGTGGGGGATTTCAAGACTGGGGGGCATATTTTTAAGGTGAGAGGAGAAAGATTTAAAATGGACATGAGGGACAACTTTTTTTACACAGAGTGGTTCATGTGTGGAATGAACTACCAGAGGAAATGTTGGACGCAGGTACAGTTACAATGTTTAAAAGACCGTGTAGATAAGTACATGAATAGGAAAGGTTTGGAGGGATATGGACCTAGCACAGGCAGGTGGGACTGGTTTAGTTTGGAATCATGGTCAGTATGGACTGGTTGGACTGAAGGGCCTGTTTCTGTGCTGCATGACTCTATGACTCCACTCGGTCATAGTGATCAAGATAACTATTATCAATTGTTGTAAAAGCCCATCTAGGTATCTAATGCCCTGTTGGGGAGGAAGTCTGTGCTCCTTACAGCCAATGTGGTTGATTCTTAAATAGCTGAGCAAGCCACTCAGTTCAAGGGCAATTAGGAATAGGCAAAAAATAGTGACACCTGTCCCATTAAAGATTGGGAAAGAAATATTATTGCGTGGAAATAAACAATCTTAATGCAAGTCCTGATAGAAGGATCAAATATAATGCCAAGATTGGTTTCATTTCAGACAGTTTCCAGGCCTACACATGGAGTCGGGAGCTAAAAAATGGGGGCTGAAGACAGCAGCTTTTGTCTTCCTGATATTGATCCCTGCATTCCTACTCGGCCAGTATAGGATATCGGATCAGTAGTTTGGGAACTCAGCACCGGTGGAGGGAGAGGGAGAGGGATGGAGGGAGAAAGAGGGAGGTGGTGGAGAGATAGAGCTGGGGGTGGATAGTGTCCATGTGAAAATGAACACTGTGCCTGTGAATGATGTCTCTGAGGGGAACCATGGAGATGAGAAATAGGAGGGGAACAAGGATCGATCCTTGAGGGATTGTCAGAGGGTACAGGGTCAGTAAGAGAAGCCATTGTGGTGATTCTCTGGTTACGAGGAGATAGATAAGGATGGAACTGGATGACAGTGGAGACAGGCTGGAGGAGGATGGTGTGGTCGCTGTGTTAAAGGCTGCAGACAGGTCAAGGAGAGTGAGGGGGGAACATTTACCACAGTCAGTCACACACAGGACATCATCAGTGACTTTCATACGTGATATAAGGTGTGGGATTTATATATAAATATAATTTATTGTAGAATTTGAATTTTGAACTTGTTTGTGGCTTTTGGTCTGTGTGTATGAGAGGGGGTTAATAAATAAATTGTCAATATTTCTGGAGGCAATATTCTTTTTTTGAAAGAAACTAGTATGAGAAAGAATTCATGGAGTAATCTGAGGATTTGTTTGCATTATGAGAGTTTTAAGATTGGCCAGAGTAAACATTGAAAACCATTAGCTTGCTTTCTGTTTAAATGAATGTGTAATTGCTTTTCTTTGCTTTGGCTAAAAACCTATAGATTGGAAAGCTTTTGATGGCAGTTTGTAGAAATATTGGTTGGAGTTAGGTGTATGAAGCAGTTTCTCATAGAGAACGGAGGTAATTCAGAAAAAAAGTTAGAAAATATGATACCTCAGTATGAGGGTTTTAGTTGGAAGCTCAGAGCAGAAGTGTTTGGGTAGAACCCTGAAGGGGTTATTTGAAGCTAAGAAAATTTAAGCTCAGTTATGTGAATAGTCAAGAAAAAAGCAATTAAAACCTGAAGACCAGGCATTGAATGAAACAGTTAAGGTGTGATTGACAAGGGAATTTTCTCTGGTGTTTGAGTCTTGTAATGTGATGGGTTAGGATAGATGGAAGATTGTATTTTATCTGCATTTTGAGATCTTTTAAGTTGTGTTATATGTAATTAATTTGGTTTGTACTATTTTATCAATGTTCCTTTTGCATAGTAAAATTTTATTTTGTTGTTAAAAGGAAATCTGCATCATTTGATGCTTGTGTTTAGGGGAAGGACCACCCTGTTAAACAGAAGCAAAGCAAACTATGATCGATCAAGCCAGATTGCAGAGTGTGATCTGACTTGTTTATTGATAACATCAGCTGGGATCTTAACAAATATTTTGAGCTAAGGAAAAAGTCTGTCAGCCTCAGGCACTAAATTAACTGTTGATTTGGCATTGAACACAATCCAAAGTGTGGAAGGGATTTGCAAGCCTCTACCACCTTTTGCATGATAAAGTGTTTCTTAATATCACTCCTGAAAAGTCTAGTTCTAATTTTTTGAGTCTGTCCTTGGGCCCTGCAGCAGAAATAGTTTCTCTCTCCTCATGAATTTTAATCAAATCGCCACATAACTTGCTGAATTCCAAGGAATACAGCCCTAGTTATGTAATTGCTCCTCATGATTTGACCCTTGGAGACCAGGGATCATTCTGGTAGATCTACCCCACACTTCCTCCAAGGCCAGTATCTCTGTTCTAAGGAACATGTCACAGTGGGTTTTGGACAGCTGATGTCAATCACATCTTAACCTAACTGTTTCATTCAATTCCTGGTCTTCAGACTTCGATTGCCTTTTTCTTGACTATTCACACAACTGAGCTTAAATTTTCTTCACTTCAAATAACCCCTACAGGGTTCTACCCAAACACTTCTGCTCTGGAGCTTCCAACTAAAACTCTTAGACCAAAGTAACATATTTTCTAACTTTTTAACCCTCTTGTATTCTAGTCCTCGAGATACAAAGGCCTAATTCGTTGATGCCCTGGAACTGATTTCGGCAAGTCTAAAATGAATCCACCAAGTGATGAATGTGAGACCATTCAGCCTACTTGAGCTTGTTCTGCCATTCAGTTAGATCAATCTCATTGACCCACCATAGATCAAGAGGATAATTAACTTTGTTTCAGCAACAAACCTAGCAACCCATACCACTTAAAGGGCAGCAGATACATGGGAACACCACCCCCTGCAAGTTCCCCTCCAAGCCACTCACCATCCTGACTTGGAAATTTATCGCCATTCCTTCAGTGTCGCTGGGTCAAAATCCTGGAATTCCCTCCCTAAGGGCATTGTGGGTCAACCCACAGCACATGGACTGCAGTGGTTCGAGAAGGCAGCTCACCCCCACCTTCTCAAGGGGGCAACTAGGGATGGGCAATGACACTCACGTCCCTCGAACATTTTTTTCAAAAAGCTGTGATTCCAGCAGCAACTTGCATTTATATAACAACTTTAATGATGCAGGACATCCCAAGCTGCTACATGGAGTTGGAGGTGGGGGTGAGGACATTGGACAAAATACGGCACCGAATCACCTATAGAGATATCAGGACAAGAGTCCTCCAAAGTTGGTGAACGAGCTGAGTTTTAAAGTGTAAACTAAATGAGGAAAAAGATGTGGAGAAGGATTTTCAGAGATTTGAGTTTAAGAAAACTGTAGGCATGGCCATAAATC